GCATAACACTGAAGGGCTGAGTTATACTCAAATGTTGTGTCCCAGGGAAAAGTGTGAGGTGCTGATAAGTGATTACACTCCTTTTCATGGCACTTATTTAATTCAATACTGGCAGTCCTCTTGATCCATAAATACACAGCCTTCTGTGAAACACAATGTGAGACAGCAAAATGCAGTTCTTTTCGATTGTATGTTCCTAGGCTCTGTGCCATAACCTATTCCTATAATAGTGCATGTTTAAATCAGTGCTTCTTCAGTGCCTCTAGTGAGGAATTGAACCACTTTCTCAATTTAAAAGACTATACAAGCCTATATAATGAAAAGAATGTTGTGCAGTTAACAACCTACTGATGTTTCTGAACTGTTGATGCATCTTCCTGCTTCTCAAATGCTTGTAGAATAGAATAGTTCATTTGGAAGGGGCCTACGGAGATCAAGTCCAACTGCTTGACCTCTTCAGGCTAGCCAAAAGGTAAAGCACATTATTAAAGGCATTATCCTGTTGGAGGGAGCGTCAGTGTAAAAGCAATATCTGCGTGCATTGCTTCTGCCATAGCTGGAGCTTGAGCTGATTATTATAGAATTGCTGTACGCTGCGTGGCTGCTCATCTGTAAGCCATTAACTTATACAGTTGTGTGTATCCCACTCCGTTATTCATCTGTCAAGGATCCTTAAGGATTAAAAAAAACAAACCTCACTGATGCCTCATTATGGAAATAATCATTTAAAACGCAAAGCGGAGACCAAGAATTTTATCTGTAACTTAGTTATAAACCTTGTTATAAGGGAGTTTCCTAGGAGTTTTGTTTGATTACCACGCTGCCATAACTATGGACATTTTGTACTAAATATTGATGATTATATTACCAAGCTTGCAGAAGACCCAGTGAGCTGAACTCAGTAGATACAACTAAAGAGGCAATGGACGTATTAATCTAATATACAAAGCAGTTGTGAAGAGTTTATATCTCGTGAATGACATCTGTCAGTTTTTGAGCCCTAAATATTACTTCTAGATATGGATACTAGAACTTAATATCTCATCTACTGTTAACTGTTTCACATTTTAAGTACTTAGTGAAGTTCAGTACTGGCACTCTGCACACCTAGTGCTCTTAGTGATTAAAGTGATATACTGAAGTCTGATAAACACAGATGTCTGAGACTGCTTCTCCTGAAGCTCCCTACTTAGGGCAATTAGTGGCAAGATACGAGTGTGATAAAATATCACTGAATAATTTGGCTTATACCATAGAAAGCATTTCCAACCTCATTTTAGGAAGTAAGAGATTTCAGGGTTTCTTATAGGCACTATTTTTGTTTTTTTTTTTGTTGTTATTTTTAATGTTAAATCGTGAAATATAGAAAGTAAATCAGTTTTTCTTCAGTGTTTGTTGGAACAATTATCAAATATAAAAAAAAAAAAAAGTGTTGTGAAAACAGCTCAAATTACTGTGATTTCTTAATAAAAATAGATTCACTTTAAATATTATTTCCCTCTCTCTGTTAGATGTTAAGAACATTGTATAGAAGTAGTAATCTTGGGTCATGTACTTTTCTTCTGTGGGATTGCAGTAGCAAGTGTTAAAGTTCTGAATTGGAAGTGGGTGTTATCCAGCAGCGTCTCAGCCACAGACTTTGTGGATCTGTTCTGGGCTCTGTTTTCTCCCACCTGAATCATAGAATCATAGAATTGCAAGTTTGGAAACAACCTGCAAGATCACCTAGTCCAACTGTCCTCCCATCACCACTGCTACCGCAGGCCTCTAACACATATCTCATAGCTCCTCATCCAGGCACCTCTTGAGCACTGCCAGGGATGGTGATTCCACACCTCCCTGGGCAGCCATTCCAGTGCCTGACCACTCGCTGAAAGAAAGAGTTTTTCCTTATGTCTAATCTAAACCTCCTCTGGTACAACTTGTGGCCATTTCCTCTGGTCCTGTTCCTTGCCTGGGAGAAGAGGCCAAACCCCTCCTCACCACAACCTCTGTTCAGGAAGTTGTAGGGAGCAATGAGGTCTCCTCTGAGCCTCCTCTTCTCCGGACTGAATGAACCCAGCTCCCTCAGCCGCTCCTCATAAGACTTGTGCTCCAGACCCCTCATCAGTTTCATTGCCCTTCTCTGGACACGCTCCAGGACCTCAATATCTTTCCTGTAGTGAGGGGCCCAAAACTGAACACAGTACTTGAGGTGTGGCCTCACCAGAGCTGAGTACTGATCACCTCCCTGCTCCTGCTGGCCACATTATTTCTATTGCAGGCCAGGATGGCTTTGGCCCTCTTGGCCACCTGGGCACACTGTTGGTTCATGCTCAGCTAAGCCTCAACCCACACCCCCAGGTCCCTTTCCTCTTCACAGTCATCCAGCCATTCAGCCCCAAGCCTGTAGCGCTGCATGGAGTTGTTGTGGCCAAAGTGCAGGACCTGGCACTTGGCCTTGTTGAACCTCAGCCCAGCGATCCAGCTTATCTAGGTCCCTCTGAAGGGCCTCCCCACCCTCAGGCAGATGGACACCATCTCCCAACTTGGTGTCATCTGCAAACTTGCTGAGGGTGCACTCAATCCCCTCGTTTAGGTCATCAATAAAGATATTAAACAAGATGGGCCCCAGTACCGACCCCTGAGGGACACCATTTGAAACAGGTCTCCAGCTGGACTTAACTCCATTAACCACTACCTGTTGGGCACAGCCCTCTAGCCAGTTTCTTACCCAAGGAAGAGTATACCTGTCCAGGCCACGGGCAGCCAGTTTCCCGAGAACAATACTGTGAGAGACTGTGTTAAAAGGGCAGATGTAAAGAAGGCGTTGAGGACCTCAGCCTTCTCCTTATCCTTAGTGGTCATCTTCTCTGCTGCATCAAGTAAAGGATGGAATCCGCTGCTCAGGGCTTAAGCTGACCGTCAAACTAAAATAAAATGTCAGGATTAGCGTTGCCAGTATTAATAGCTGTTCTGGAGAGCCGTGTACTTGGTGAATGCTAGTTAGGTTGTGTGTAAGGAGGAAAACAATAGCATTTTGCATCCTTGTACTGATGGAAATGGCAGCAGATATAAACCAAAGGGGCTTCACTGTCATTGACTGTTATCAAGATAAACGATTGAGTGGGTTTATCTAATGGTAGCAAAGTGAGACTACTGACTCTTCTGTAGTAATTAATCTGTAGTTAATGTCTGCTTTTTCCTTTAGTCCTGAGCACTCAGCATGTCTTATCAGGCTGCATACAATTAGTATGGCCTTAAGCTTTGTCTTGTGTGCAGGGTTCTGTAACTGGGTTAGTTTGCTTTCTTTTCTTGAGTAATTTTGATCTGGCAAACTGGAAAGCACAGATGGAGGATTAGGAGACCTTGTAGTCTGGAAATCTCACAGCTATGGTTCAGAATGTTTGCAGTGAAACATTGGTGCCTTTTATCCTACGTCTACATTTTTAATACGAAAATATATCTTGTTTTAGTGCACTAGTGTAGTTGTCTTTTCCTTTCTCCCTCTGTAACATTAATGGATAGAAATGTATCGGAATATGCTGCCTGTGGCTGATAGAGAAATGTACTAAAGTGTATACTCTATTCAATTTCCTGTCTGGAATTTTCTTTACACATTCTTAAGAAATAGATCATATTAGTCAGGTGAAGTGATGAGATAAACCTTGTTGTCTGCAGCTGATTCTTCAGTTTGAGTTTTTGGATCAGATTATTTCAGTCCAATTACTGCTTTCTTATCTATGCTTTATGGTAAATATACTTTTTCCCTCCTTTCCATGATAACTACCGTAATGAATAATGTAGTGTTTTAACTGGTACCTTGTAGTGATTTTATCACTTTAATCAAAGCTGGGTGCTGTTGACATCAGATGTTTTTTAAATGCAGAGGAAGTCCTTCTTCAAGCCTTAGGTAAAGCTTGTACAGTTGTGGATGGCTGAAGTCAAGATTACGACAGTGGCACACGTAGTAGGCTTGTATACTTGTGGATTTGTACTTGTGTACGTTGATATACATTTTCAGGTAGTCTAGACTACGAGCCCATTTATGTTTCCAGAGAGCCCCAAAGCTTTGTTTCTAATGGGTACTATGTTTCTGATTTCACTTTGACTAGCATTTGAAAAGAAATCCTTAACTATCCCTACTGTTCACTCTGCCTTTACTTAAAAGAAGAGTGGGAATGGGAAGACAGGACCTTGGTATTTTTTCTGTGATACTTTGAAATTGAAAACGCAACAGTGTTTTCATAGCTCCAAAGTGAATTCAGTGACGTTAAATGCAACTGAAAGCTCCCAAAGTTGACAGATCTGATGAATCAGCTCATATCTGCACACAAGCAATGTTGGAGGCTCTATCCAAGATTCTGAAGGCTGGGAAGAAGAATTGCAGGACTTTGGAGAGCAATCTGGTGGTTTTCCAATAGATATTTGTGTTGTGTGTGTAGATACAAGTGTGACTGACCAGAAGGCTGTGTAGTCAATAGACCTGGTTGGGTTAGGAGCAAGTTTGCTTTGTCTTTCTGTGAAAAATGAGGTGTTGGGACCATCTGGATAACTCGTGTTTATCTACTGCATTCAGCAGGGCAGCAATGTTTAAGAACCTAGTCTTGGTGAGATGTACATGAATCCTTTTAAATCAAAGGTTGTATTTCTTTTCTTGAAACTTCCAACTGATGGTGAATCCACTGCTGCCCTTGGGAAAGGAAGATTTGAAATGATGATTCCATCATATGCATTATAAATGAAAGGTGAAAATTTCTAAATTATCAGTTTAGTTTAGTTCACTCAGACCCTCATACTTTCTTAGTTGCTGGTTCTGTTAGCTTGAGGAGTCTTTTATTTTTGTTTTTGCCCCTCCTTTAAGTAATCAGACCACAGACAAATCTACCAGCAGCGTACTTTGTGAGCTGAAGGGAGCCCCTCGTGTCCTTACCGTCTGGCATATTATCTAATCCAGTAATTAGTTCTGTGGTTCCTTTCCGAATATTCTCCAACTTACCTCCTCTTGTTCTGTTCTGCAGGGACCTACCATAGAAACACAGATGGTGGAAGATGAAACTGAGACGACAAGTGAAGATCTGCCCCCTCATCTGCGGGAAGAACCTCCCGAAGGTACTGTAATGGCGTTCAGTATAAATTCTTTGCATTGAACTGGAGAAGTGATCAGGTCAAGGAAGTATTTTTTTTCTTTCGTGATGTGACTTGAGGGCCTACCTTTGCCTCTTATCTGTGAGAGATAAGGCTTTGCTGAGAGCTGAGCCAACCTCTCCTCTGGCCTACTTTTGCATTTGAAGAGGGCTGCACCCACTTCAGTGTTGATAATGTTCTGTGTTCTCTTTAACAATCTGGCTTCTGATTAAAATTGTCCTATCTGGTCATCCTGCATGTAGGGTTAGAAATAAAAAGCCTCTTGTATTGTTTGTGATATCTCGAGCAATTGTTAGAGAAGACTTCCAAAGTGGTCAGCTGTGCAGCTTCCTGCTATTGATACTGGCCACAGCAGAGCACTGTTAAAGACAGGCATTTTAGTTTTGTTTCTTTCTGCCATCTCTCTTGGAAGCCAGTTTAGCCATCTGAGAAGGAGGCTGTTAGTCAGTAGGAGGCTCAGAAATGCCAATTTTAATTAAAAATCTCATTTGCAGTGACATGCTCTGGATATATACAGGGAATGGATTTTTTCAACTGTGTAAGTGTAGCTGATATATATATGTATATATGTAACAAAATAGGTGTTATTTTATTTTGAATAGAAGCTTGTAACATTGCAGCAAGCAATGTTTTGAGCTTTGTTTCCAGTTCAGTGACTTTAGAAACACAACTGCTCATAATCATTCTGGACAGCTTAAAGAACCCAGCGTGTGCTGAGGTTCTTAGTAGCAGCTTACTGTTTGAATATCGTGACATGTCTGTGGGAATCATAAATGTGTTTTATATTTTTCTTTAAGAGAAGAATCTATTCTCGATATAGCATTTATACTGACAGCCATTGTTAAAGAGCTTATGAGCCAAATAGTATTACGTGTCTGCTGCTCTATCCCTTCTTGTTGAGTATTCAGTTGCAGTTTTGACATTAAGTTCTAATTTGTTGCTCTGCCATTTCATACACTGTCTGGCAATTATGATATAGAGAGGTAAGTGAAATGCAGGTCTCTGCAACTTCTACGGAGCTGGAAGGAGCCACGTGTAGGAAAACAGTCATATCCTCTGTATACATATGTGGTTATAATTCTGAGTTTGTTCTTTCTAAGTAGTGCATATAATGCACTACTCACAGTGTGTAGTTGAAGTTAGAATTCTGGTCGGCAGCCTGAGCTGATGATTACATGAGCTTGGAGATCAAATTCTGAAATGTAAAACATAGATCATCTTGACTCATAAATTCATCAGGAGTAGACTTATATTCTTGTACTGTGCCTTTGAATTGTGTAATCAGAAGGTTTTTTAAAATGTGACTGTGTTTTGCAAAGCTAGGTTTATGTCATTGAAAGTTCTTGCTTCTGCCTGCAGTTCTGCTTGTTTGAATACTGATTGGAAGTGTCAGTATTAATATTCCATGTGTGACTTGTTGTGTGGCCTGGGAAATGTGTGTGTCCTGGCCGTGCCTGCTTTGCTAGTGTGAGGGAGAGAACTGTAATATTGGAATTGGCTTGGCTAGGCAGTGGTGCAGTAAATGCTGTGAGTTCTCTTAAAGTCTGAGACGGGAACTGTTTTGACTGACAGCGATACCAAGACTAACAAAATGAGAAGGATACTGAGAGCACGACAGGAATAGAGATGTCTTGGGAGAAATTGCTCCTGAAAAATGGCCATCAGGACTGTGCTGAAATGACAGCTGGAATTGATGGGAACGAATAGCAGGAATGTTGCTCAGAAGCTGCTACCTACCAGCAGGCACCAACCGGAATTACCAGACGTCATACAGCTGCAGGAGTGATTGCAGATAGCCCGTGACAGAAGCAGGTCTCTGTTTTCAGTATGAAATATCGTTAAATGCTGTCTTTTCTGTTGTTGCTCTTTGCTGCTTTCTGGTTTCTTCTGATAGCGTTTTCCTAATAAAGTCAAATGCCTCACAAGGGTATGCCACGTTGCTGCGCCTGGTGTTTGTGAGTCAGGCGCTGTGCCTCTTGCTAACGAGCACATGGGGATGGAGGGCACTCCAGAGCCTGTGTCCTCTAGCACGACTGGAGAAGATTGCATCAGTCACTGTCTGCCAGCTGGCGCTGCTTGTGTGCCCTCCTGAAAGGGGGGAGTTAGGAACAGTGTGCTTTAGGGATATTGCAGTGAAATAACAGGTTTCTCTTACCGATCCACTGGTGACCTAAATCCATGCAATCTACTCTGAGTTAACTGTTTAATATTGTCGGAATAACCGAGTAAAGATTTCAGCTGCAGAAGGCCCCTTGAGGGCGGCTGTGTGCCCCGCGGCCTTTCATGGCGGAGCGCGGACGTTGTGCGATGGGAGCCGGGCCGGCGGAGCCCCGTCAGCGCGGTACGGCGCCGAGCGGCCGCGGGGGGGCGCTGCAGCACTTCCCGAGCGCCGGGCGTTGGGACGGCCGCGGGGCTCCTCGCGCTCGTGCGTCTGCCCGCGTCCGAGCGAACGGGAGGGAGGGTTTAAAGCTGATAATTTCCTTCCGAAAGCTGCTTTGAGCGTGGCTTTCCGCATCTTCCACAAAGCCCACGAAGCTTTTGATCCCTCAGTGCGATATTTTTACTTAATTTTATGTTTCCTTTGCCCAACTCGTGTTTGCCTTTATTCCTTCTGTGCATGCACACACCTTTCCTTTCTCCTTAGCCTTGATATCATGCCCTTTATGTGTTAGAAAGCAGGTGTCTGGAGCTGCAGCTATTCAAGCAGTGAAGGGCAGCCATCTCCAGGGAGGAGCAGGTCTGTTTTAAGTAGCGTGAAGCACCTTTGGCTCTGCAAGAGGTGGCACGTTGATCTGTTGCAGTGTGTTTGAATGCTGATCTGCTTTCAAGTAGATTATCACTCAAATGTTTGCTGTTAAAGGGCAGTATGGTCACTTTATTTTGCTGCCCAGGTACCGCAGCTCCTGGCTGTATCTGTTGTTTCTTTTTCTGCCATTTCAGAGTTCTGTTGCTGACCATTTAATACAGCGCACTGTTAATTGCTACCACCACCTTGCTTTTCTGTCCCTTTCCCATAAATTACCCAAGAAAGGGGATGGCAATGAAATCTTCTGATGATTAGAGCTTCTGTAATGTGAGCCATTATGAGTAGCTAGCATTTCCAGTTAGATGAGCAGGTCTCTTCTGTTTGATGACGTAGCGACCCTGACCATTCTCCTACTACTTCACCCCATTGCCAGGTTGAGGGGGATGATCCTTCCCTTTTATTCAGACTTGGTGAAGCCATACCTGGAATACTGTGCCCGGTTCTGGGCTCCCCATGAGATGTGGACACACTGGAGAGAGTCCAGTGAAAGACCACAGGATGGAGCCAGGCTCTTTTCAGTGGCACCTGGTGCCAGAACAAGAGGCAGTGAGCACTAACAGGAACACACAAGGGTTTGTCTGAACACTGGGATGCACTTCTGTGCTGTGCAGGTAACAGAACGCTAGCATAGGCTGCCCAGAGAGGCTGTGAGGTCTCTTCCTTGAAGGTCTTCGAAAGCTGCCTGGATGTGGTCCTGAGCACCTTGCTCTTGGTTTTCCTTCTTGAGGAGGGGTTGGACCTGCTGGTCCCAGAGGCTGCTGCCAACCTAAGCTGTTCCTCAGTTCTGCGGTCTTACACCTTGTGTCTACTATTTCTGTGTATTAAAAGTCCTCCCGAAGTCTCTGTGTACATGCTCTGTTACCCTAATTCTTAAGGGAAAAGTGGCTTAACTTTGTCAGACTGCAACTGTTATGCATTCCAGGAATGAGCCCTTAGCACGTTCTGGGGTATGGCTGTTCCTTTTGACCCTGCACTACTAATTAGCATCCGGTGTGCTAAACCTTAGCGCAAGGTTATGCGATCTGGTTGAAAATTGTGATTCTGTGATTCTGTGAAAAGCTGTGTTGCTGCTTAATGGCAGGAAGCCCCTCTTGGGAGCTTGCAGACCAGTTTGTTCTTCTACGGTCTTTATGCATTAAGCATTAAAATTTTATTGGCCAACATGCTATGATCGGTCTGTCAGTGAGCACGAGTTGTCTGAGCAGTCTGCTATCCCTTCTGCAGTCTTCAGGCCTAGTAGAGATGTTCATTCTTTGTTGCTGACAGATAGAACCTTGTGGAATAAAACTTTATTAAAAGCAGTGGGTCTTAGCAGCTCTGCAGTATACAACAAACCTTGGGGAATTTACTTTCCAAATAACTGTAGTGTTCCTAATTCAAATTTTTACATTTGCTGTGAGTAAAGAGCCTGCATGGATAGTTCCTTAAATCAGATGATTTGCACCAATTTGAAATGTAGCATCTTGTGTGAGCCCTATAATCTGTCTCCACGGAGGCATATAGCCTTTTTTGCTGTTCTATATCTTTTGCAAGATAGAATTATATCATGTACTTCTGTGGGAAGCTTTAGGACTGCTTATCCACAGTTTGGGAATCTCTCATTCAAGGAATTGGGGGATTTAGTGGATCACTTGTTTGGGATTGCCTTTGAGTGCAAGCGTGCTGTATTTTACCTAGATGTGTTATTTGTGCAGATCTAGCACCCAAAATTGAGCTGCATTTTAATTCAGGTACCACTGTGCATTTGAAATTTCTGAAACCAACCTGAGTTCCATCTTCATACTGGACTGATGTTGGCAAGAAGATGCCAGCTGATGCATGTCATCTGGGATGTGACTTTCAGTTTGCATCCATGCTGTTGAATGAGCGTATTCCTATAAGCAGTTTGGTTTTGTCATGAATATGTGGTGTTTTTCCCGGTAGTTAAAGAGTTGTTGACAGAGATACATCTCTATCAGTGATGAAGTTTTGTTGTCAGGCCGAATTTTTGCAAGTAAGTGCCGCACCGAGATGTAAATGCTGCAGACCTGAGCTGTGTCATGTTTTCTATCTTTCTGTTGCAAGCAGTGTTTCATGTGCTAGTTTCCAAACTGACTAGAGCTAAATGAGTGCAAAGGAATCGCGCTGGAAAACGGTGCAGTTACAGCCACTAAGTTTC